TCCTTCCCCGAATTTCCTCGTTTTCGAGCAAAGGCTACCAGAATATGTGTAACACTGCAAATACGAAGAGAAAAAATAGGAACGTCCGAATTTCCCGATAAACCTGCTAACGACAGACGTTTCCAGCGGCACGCTCGAATTGGTTACACACCAGAGTCATCCAGTAAACGAGAGTGGGTCCAGTTCGAATGACGGTTCGATTCCTTTTTTCCCCTGGCGTGCAGACAGACTCATCGCTTGTCCGCCGTGGCTACACGTCCGCGAATATTATAAATTTCCTGTGGAAACGAGTGGCACCAAGTTGGCAATTATCGATTTCACGGTGTCATCCAGGCCAGATACCGGCAGTTAACGGTGACGAGAATTTTTAGGTGTCTCGGTTGGGGTGTCTCGAGTGAATTTAAAACGCGGATGGAAGACCTCGAGAACGTACTTTGCCTGAATTTCTCGAAACCGAGGGCGGGTATTGGGGTAACGCTTAACCCTTTCGCTGCTATCGACGACTACAGGTGGTTTAAAAAATTTTGTTTTGTACTAACCCTTTTGCACTTTTGCGGCGCACTTTTGTATTAACCCTTTGAGGACGACAGAACACTATGAACACAACCTGTAACGCACAAATTTTTGAATAATAAAAATAGTTGGCTCTGTATATTATATTATACTTACTTATATTTCGAAGAAAGAGAATTTTGAAAGAAAATTAGAATAGCGACCTAGTTATATGTTCATAAAAGATCGGTATCTCGAATCCTCCAAAGGGTTAATTTAAGCCTTAATTTTATTCTTTGCACTGTTTCAAACGAAACGATTTTGCGGTCGTTGCGGAACATCTGAATCTGTGACGCGCGTTGTGTGCCAAAATTTGTCGCAGCGAAAGGGTTCGAAATCGGAGCAATCAAGGATCGACGTTAGAGACATAAAGAAACTTTATTAAAACTGACGTGCGGATGACAACACACAGAGTGACTGGAGGGTGAAGAAATAGGGCTGTTTAAAGATTCGAGGAAGATGAACTTTGTCTTATGACTGTGTAAAAGAGTTGGAAGGTGAGGAGCCCAGGCGTGAGTGACGGTGAAACTTGGTGACTAGTTGTGGACACGGACAAAACTAAGACGCTAAGAAAGAAAACATTCGAGGGTATACATATACTGTTGCGCGTCGCGGTTGGATGAGAGAAGCCGTATTGCGGAACCGGTAAGATTTTACGACCGGTTCTTGCGGCTCGTAACAGCGCACCCACGTGGGCCTAGGGCGATAAATACGATTGTTTATTTGCCCGGGGCGCATCGATTTATTCAGCGCGGTGGCACGGCACGGGGCGAAAAGTCGATTGAAAAAGAGAGAGAGAGAGAGAAGACAGGTTGCAAAGCGAGGGTCGAAATGCTTGGATATACGAGGGCATCGAATAAATTTCGCTTTTTAACACACAGCCCTTCTTTCTTTAACCCTTACAGGCAGTTTCAGTCAGCTTTTCGCATTTCACACTCAGTTTCTCCGAACCGGTGAACGAAGAGATTGGAATAAATAAAGGATGAACCTTAGGTTCCCCCAGATTTCGTTCCTTGATTGCGCTTTCCATAATTCACACCCTCTTTTTCGACCTTTTGTCGCCGATCTCTCCCGGGATAACGTAACGAATTTAGGGATTCGTGATTCTTTCGTCTCCGTTTATTTTCGCTAGCGTGTTTATTTATACGACTGTATCTCTGCGGCGAGAGAGAAAAGTGGCCGAAGCCACGTCGTGGAACTAACGAGCTTCTCGATGTTTCACAGAAAGAAAAGAGCGGCGATGAAATGTTAGAATTGCGAGTTTTGTCGGAGAGGGAGTGAGAAATTTGGATCAAATGCGTTTGCACGAATCAATTGTAACTCGCGCATAGTTGCATTCCAGGCTGAGTTTTTTTTTCTTTTTCAAGGTAAATCTACGTGTCTGTGCTAACAGCGCGATGAGAGCTAGCGTACACGGAGGACTGTGCAAATTGGACATTGTCAAAATTTGATCGCGCGATAACAGCGGTGACTCGAGTGCGAAATGTCGTTCGTAAATATTGTCAGCGTTGAAGGATAAATTTGCAGCCTGTCTAATCCGAGTTTACGTTGGCACTTAGGTAGATTAATGGTAAAAGACGATCGGCTGAACGAGTGTCTTCAAGGGGAAAGAAGCCAGGAAGGCTTCACTTCGAAATAAGTAGTATATGTGAGAATTTATAATGGCGCGGAGAGCTAGTCGAGGAGATTCCTGTCACCGACATTTACGACTTCCCTTGTTAGCAGAAGTAGTTACGTCAAATAGGCTGCTGCGAAGTGCTGTAATTAAGCTTAAACTCGTGTTTCTTTGAAAAATCTGCCGAACGTAGAAACGCCTAATTGTGTTGAATTATTGAAAACTCTTCGCTTCCTGCCGAATCATTTTTTTCCAAATTAACATACCAATTACTTTTCTTCCTATATCTCGTCCTTTCGTCTGTTCCACGACGTCTTCATTCAAGGTCTGTAGATAGAAGTTACTCGAGGGAGAGAAGATCGATCCCAATCTCCCAATAGACGTCAAAAGCCTGTCCTTTCGGTGTTGTATCCGCGCTATTAGGGCGCGTGGGTGCGTATCAGATAAAAGTAACATTCCTGGTCGTGGTGGAAAAAAGATGGAATAACTGTGTTACATAAATCGATCAAACCTGAAGATAAAATTAACGTCGTATCACGATCTATGATTCAAACGTTGCTATGCAAAGACCGGACCAACCCCGAAGTGCGCGCGTTTCGACGGAGAAACGTGCGTCGAGGGGAAAAGAGATTCATGCGTCGCGTAAGTAGAAACTCGTGTGTAGTTTCGACCATCGTATGCCACAGGAGATATTTATCTAGAATTCTCGGCGGTTTCGTGACGTTGGCGCGCGGAAACCGTCTCGTTTCCATCAGCCTTGGAAATATTGACCGAGTTCCTTGCACTTTCTACGCGAAAACCGGCCCAACACCAGAACCTCGTTCCACACACACACACACGTACGTGTGTGTCATGCAAGCCGATGATTACGACACTCTTGATAACGACAGGATTAGCCGCGTGTGTGTATGTGTGGTGTTCACGACGAGAAATCCACGCGTTCGTTGAATTGCCGCGCCAGAGAGTTGCTAATATCTACACTCGAGAGAGAGAGAGAGTATTAGTGTGCGATTCATTAGACGACGTTTCGATGTCTCAATTTCCGAAACGACAGAGACAGCGATTCTCTCTACCTCTCTCTCTTTCTACACACATTTCCAGCAAATATTAAACCAGGGAGCGTCGATACGAGGCCAACACGTCTGACCTCGTCGAAACACGCTGTTACGCCGTTAAATAAATTACACCGATGGTGTTCATCTGACCGTTTAGAATCGGTCCCACGTACAAATTGCCCTCGGCCTCGGAACGCGTAAAAATCCTTGGACGGATAACAAGGTTTCCGTGTGAAATCCCGCCGTCTTCTTCACTCTGTCTCCTCTGTCTGTGCTGCGTGAAAGCTTACGAAGTCAGACGTTAATGGCGTTAATCGTGTATTCCACCTTATAGCCGCCTCTGTCGAACCTTGCATTTCTGACGCCTCGTTTCGTTTCGGGGCACGCGAGCGGGTAAATGAATTTCCCACGATGCTTTCACTGCGCGACCTAGTACGTCATTATCGGTGATCGACAGTGTGATAAACGATGGACCCGTCCGATAGACGACAGGACGAACGAACCGGTCGTCAAGTTATGGCGAAAGGAGCAACGTCGTGATGGCACGACAGGCGCGTGCACGCGTCTAGAGTGTCACGTCTAAGCGTGATTTTCTTTTTTTCTCGCTTTCCTCAGAAGGTTTCCCGGCCGTATGCTTGGAGTTTGTTGTAACTGGCAGGCGAGTCGTCTTCGCGTTTGAAAGCCAAGGGTCACGAGACAGCGACAGAAGTTGATCGATTCATTCGACTTTCTACGGTGGATCCTTTCTCGTGATTCGCGATTGGGAGTGGTCCGGATGAGACGTGTCCTCTTCGTTAACGTCCACCGGGAGAGACGTTCTTAGGAGTAGCGACGACGTTCGAGTTTCTAATTTATACCGCGGGTTCGAGAGTTCGGTGTCGGTTACCTGATTGCACGAATAGGGAATCTTAGTGGTAGAGGGTTGAACTTCAGATTTTTAAGCTAATCGAGTGGTTACTCGATTTTCCGGGTTAGTTTAATCCTTTGTAGGTAATCTGGCAAATTTCACTCACATTTCTCCGAAACAAATTTTTAGACTTAACAAACTATTATGCAAGTTAGTAGAGTCCTCCTGATAGTAACCTGATAATTCTAGGTACATTACGTAGAATCGATCATGCGTCGTGGACAACGCGAATCCACTGTAGACTAGGAGCAGCGAGTTTGTCAGAAAACACCCGGCTACCCGGTTAACGATCCCATAGAAAGCATCGATGATAACGAGTTTATAAATCAGAGAGGATTTTCTCCTCGTGAAACGCGACGAGCGTGTAGTATCGAGGCGCGCGCGGTTCATCGAAAGATCGGCAAACAAGAGGAATCTACGGGTTCGATCGCGCGGTCATAGATCATCCGCTCATAGATCATTGTCTGGCGCAATATATCGACATCTACGAAGGGCGATTATCGATGAGCGAACGTGTAAATCACGCGCGAGGACCTTCAACCTCGTAATATATTATCCCACTGGCTGGTCCACGATGACAAGTCTTGCCCTATAATAATTTATTGCGCGATCTAATCGCTGTACAATTTTTACCCCTTCTTTAATGTGAAAGTCCCGGGTTGTACGCGACCGTGTCAAAGGTCCTGCGTAAAACGTGAATCACCGTGGAGAATCTGTACGTTGCATTCCAACTATTTCCTCCTTCGAAGAGACACATTCTCTCGTTCCAGTATCCTTATTCCTCGTAGAACGCAAATATTTCATACGTACGAACAAATTGAGATGTGCAATAATCGATCGTCCTAATTTCATTTCAGCAATAACAAAGGAGGCTCTTGGCAACGTGGGCAGATTTCCCAAAGGTCAAGCCCCAGTCCCAGTCGACTTCACCACACGCAGGAAGTAGCCACGCCTCACACAGCTCCCGTTTCCGTGAGTATCTCAAATCTACCCCCGGAAATTGCCTCGTTTCTTCATTTTTTCTGTTTTCTTTCAATTAATACTCTCGATCGTTACGTTATATCAGGCTTGGGTCGGAACTTACGTATTCCAATTAACACGATACTCGTTACATCAATCCTCGACCCACTTTTAACCTTCGCAGTTGTTTAAGAAAAAAAGAAGCAGCGACGACGGCTGGCCGATAGGTTGAAGGAAGAATGCTTTCAGATGTTTTAAACATTCGGAGATCAGCGTCGCCGCTGCCGCCGCGTTTCCCACCTTTTAAAAGTTTCGTGGTCGATTCGCCGGCAGGCACTCGCAACTTTCTTTCCCAAGGGGAAGTTCCGGTCGGTTCTCTTGAACTTTTTAGCCGCCTTATAGCGTCCCAGAGCGCGGTCGATAAAACGTTTCCAAGCGTACCTCGATTCCCTCGGAATTATCACTGATTTTCTGAGTCGTTTCCGCAACGGCGGAGAATCGCGCGACCTCTTGTTCCTCCGCGTGTACTATAGCGGGGCATCCCCCAGCTTGAAATTTCGCGAATGGGAAACACGACGAGGAAAACGTTTCTCCGATCCTCTTTCAGCGTACTAAACGTCGGAAAAAAGAAGAAGGGAAAAAATACCCTCCTCGACTGTGTGTTCCGAACTGTTTCGTCGAATCGCGACGATTACACGTTTCGGCTCCGGTGGAAACTCGTCGTGTGTTTTACGGATATCTATGAATAATCACGTCGCGAATTCCGTAGTTGGGAGAAACAGTTCGTAACGATCCCAATTAATATTACCGGCGACGTGATAAATTACCGCACGGAGAGTTGTTCTCTGTTTGCGGTGTCTCGCGCCGACCGTCGCAGATAAATCCGCGAACTTGCAACAATGCGACAGTTTGCCCGGCGGGGTGCAAAACGTTCCCGTGGTTTAATTACGCTGACCCGAAGGACCTCTGCTTTTTCCTAAGTTTGTCGAAGAAAGTTTGGAAAGAAAGCCGGTTAGCGGCGGTAGCTTTTTCAACTGAAAGCGTTTGCTTGCTCGTGGGAGGATCAGCGCGTTAACGGAGCGCACTTTTCTACTAATTCCTCGCGGGCGAGTTTTAGCGACACGAGAATGAAAATGCGCGGGTAACGTCTGCGGTGAATATGCACAGGCGGAAAATTGGGAAGAGAGTGCGGGAATTAAAGTATCAGACTTGCGGATGAAAAATTTCAAGGGAAGCTGCTGTAATTCGGATGAAAAATTATGAACACTTTTTAAGAATTTTTTTTCTCGGTTCGGTGTTATCACGTTTTCCGACGGTTTTTAGGTTCATCTACTATCTTCTACCGTACTACTTTCGTGTAGTATTTTAAAAAATTGTTAGATGTAATATACGTCGTTTAATTATTCATTTTACTCATTTTTCTGAAAATTTTGTTAGCAATGTTAGACATTTATTTAATTGCAAGTCGTTGGGTTGGTAATGTGTTGAATAAAATTAAACTTATTAACACGTTGATTGCCATAAAGGGTTATGCGAACCGTCGCATAATAATTACGCAAAAGACTTTTTATTTTAAATTTCAAGACAGCAGTAACTGAAAACAATTTCACAGTTTTATTTATAACAATCATTCTCCTAAAACGAGAAATTACATTTCCCATTCTCGAATGAAAGAAACGTTAGACACATGTGAAGAACACGTCGTGAAGTCAGCGAAATTTGCGACCCACTCAGGGTGTTAGCTCGTCCATGTATAGTCAACGGAAGAAATATATCGAGGTCGTAACTCAAGCGTAGTCGAATGTCGTCGCGTAAGGATTAATTTACGACACCGCTATATTTCCTTCCATCGACTATACCGAAACGCTGTTTTAACACCCTTCGTACATCAATTCCCAAGTTGGAATTAAAAAGAATCGAGTAGATACAAGTATTCTTAACCAGTGAACAAGTTTCGATCACGGTCGCAATAATAAAGTCGTCGCGGCAGTTTCGATTTCCCCGATACACTGCGTAATCGCCTCAAATTACCAGGATCCCGGAGGCGGATGAACCGATTGAAGGCGAGGCGGTTCGAGGCAGACGTTGCCAAGCTTGTTTCTCCGCTTCTCCTTCGGGAAGTCACGTCGCAGCCGACGATAACGTATCTAAGATTTGCATCTCCGCGGGGAATTTCACCATCTCACGGCACGAATTCGAAATGCCGGCGTTTCGCGTCGATGCGCGCCTCCGCTCTAAAACCGAGTCCGTGCGGATTCTCCGGATCTCGAACGGGAGAGACGACGAACGCGCTTCGTCCCCGCGGAGAGACCGGAAACCGAAGCCCGTGCGGCGTTCCGACACCGTTCCACCTTTTTTCGGTGTTCCCCGGCATCGGACACGCGAACACAATGGACCGTGGACGTAACATCGACGACCTGGTGAGATTTTAAAGCGACTCGAGAGTACTCTCTGGAACGATCCGTCACGCGCCACCGTGATCGATACTTTTCCTAGGTGGTGCGACGGAGCTTTCGTCGATGGAAAGATCAAATTGCTGGGAGGGGAAAAAATGACGGCTGGAGAAAGGAAAAGGGGCGAAGTTAATATAACTGACGTCGCTTTCGATATTTTTTTTATTTAATAGGGAGGTTGAGAGGATATGATTTACGATTGCAGGTTTTGTTCTATTTTCTGTCGAATAGCGTAAGAAACATCGAACAGGGAGCGTAATTGACGCTACCAACGCGTCATTTTTTTCTTTCGCTTAGCTTGACTATACATATACGAGCATATTACGTCCAAGCTTAATTTCTCCACTGTTCTAGGCTTCCAAAAAATCTGAAAAAATTCCAGGGCACTCCTCAAAGTCTCTACTGCATCGTAAAATAATTCTCCAACTCTAATATTTCAAACTTCGTTCGATAAAAATCGAAATTCGTATCGGTGAAACGCAAGAGTGAAATTTCGCAGGGTTAACGTTCCCCCGGGATACGAAACCTGCTGATAAAGACGCTAAACTGTAAAGACAGATAAGTGGATAAAACTCGGGCGATGTAGAACGATAGGAATAGATAGCGCGAATCCCGTGGAATTATCCTCGTTAAGATAATACCGTGGAACTCGCGGGGCAGGTTACAATGCCGTTGGCCACGGTTGCGTCTAATTGTCAGCTAAATGCTTGTCCCCTCGGTGACAGTGACCTGTGCATAAACGCTGGAGATACAGTCAATTCGACACGGCATTGTTACCGGTAATGTTAACGAACCGGGCATGCACTGTCGTCGCTGTGAATGATGCATGTAGGTCGTTGCCAGCCCACGATACGCCATTGCACACGGTATATACAGTGAAATGCAATAATGCAATCGATATACATACACGTACGTATATATACATATTAACACGCTCCAATTATAAGGAGAGTGTAATCGAAGGAGTTAATGAAATTCTGTCGATCGTCTTCCGTTCGATCTCTTCGACGCGAAGCGTCGGTGTCGATTTTATCTATCGTCACGTCTCGATACGATCGTTTTCTTTCTTTCTTCCTACTTTTTCGTGGTTTAATTAACGTACCGACGCTATTTCGACGTGTATACACGTCTCTTCGAGTGAAAATAATTAGAGAGGCCCGCTAAGTTATCCAATATACTAAAAGCTCGAGAACCCTGTTATACCGGATGATTCTAGGAACTGGGACGAGTCGTAGCTCTTTTCTAAGCATAGAAAAAGGTGGCCGAGGGAAAACGCGGCACGGTTTAATGAGATCCACCCTCCTTTGGCTATATCTTCTCTGCGGACGTAGACCGCGATTACAGTCTCCCTTTTTAATAGAGTCGTTGAATTTTCTTCGTGTAAATCGATGTTACTCGCCGTCCTATTTACGAGCTCTACCTACTACCTAGTTCGCATACCCTGAATTACTTTTGCATTGTGTGTCGTTCGTGCAATCTTGCATTTCTATTTTCTTCTTTACTCGATTTTTCTATTTTTTCCAAAATTTTCATTATTCTAAACATAGTGTTATATTACGCTTTATTACTTTTTTTTTTTATTCAAAATGATGTCCAGTTAGCTACGATGTTCGAAATTTTTAGTCGACGATATTCGTTTTATTTTAATTGTTCTAAACGTTCGAGGCCCTCCGTTCACAGGTGGCCAACGTGTTAATAGGATTACTATTTTGGGTGGTTCGCGTAGAATTTTGGTGGCGAGCGCGTTGGAATCGAGACGTCGAGAAGCGAAGAAGAGGACATTTTGGTGGAAAAGCTGTCGGGAGCAAACAATTGGATCGGTGGATGAAAGTAATTAGGAGAAGTTAGCCGAATGTCACGAACACACAGGCTATCGGGAGCATCGGAACATTCGAACGTAATTAACGCTTCCACCCGCATGCAAACGGCGTGCACGTGCCTCTGCGTGCATTTAGGCTCGTGGCTGGAGACGTCAGAAGCGTCGACCATTATTCATCCGACTGTTCTATCATCCGCCGCTTCCGAGGAGGAAATTACGAATCGCGTGTCTAGCGGATCGAACGTCTGACGTTCATCCTTGAAAATAATTTCGCGACGTTACTCCTTCCAGTACTGTTTCAACACTTCTGCGTGATTGATGTTTAATTAACGAACCTGCGAAGCTACCACGAACGATCCTCCGAAGAGTTCCTCGTTGACCAAGTGTCGATCGTTTGATAATATTTCCTTGAAGCTTCTGGAAATGGTATATAGAGGGTGGTCAATGGGAGGTCAAATCTTCATATCGAATTTAATTCTTTTAAACGTAAATTTGCAAATTCTTGCTTTGGGGGATGTTAACACTAATGTTTTCTTAATTTTTCTACGTCAGTTCACACTTCGCGTCGCTCGAGTCACGTTTGTAACAGTCAGTGGAAGAAATATAGCGAGGTCGTTTCCTTTCAGGGACTGAAATGTTTCAAACTTTCTGGTCTACACCTCGTCCATAAGTTAAGCGAATAAGCCCAATCGATACCAGAATAATTCATCCTGTCAACACCTTCTTAACTACAAAACTTC